CGTCTCACATACTTTGGACATGTTATCAGGAGGGATCAGTCCCTGGAGAAGGACATCATGCTTGGTAAAGTAGAGGGTCAGTGAAAAAGAGGAAGACCCAGCACGAGATGGACTGACACAGTGGCTGCAACAATGGACTCAAGCGTGACAGCGATTGTGAGGATGCTGCAGGACTGGGCAGTGTTTGTTCCGTTGTACATAGGGTTGCTATGAGTTGAAACTGACTTGACGGCACTTAACAACAACTACTTTACCAAACATGATTCCCTTCTCTAGTGATTTGTCTTTCCTGATGAGCATTAATCCAAGCAGAATGAAATTGGTAACAATTTCAAAGTTTTATCCATTTATCATAAGGTTGTTTATGAGTCCAGTTGTGAGGATTTTCATTTGCTTCATACTGTAGTGCCATCGATTCTGGAAGCTGTGGTCTTCTTCCTCTATCATTAAGAGCTTCAGGTTGTCTTCAAGCAGAGTTGTGTGATCTGCACATTGAACGTTTTTAATGAGTCTTCCTCCAATCTTGATGTGGCAACATAGTGACTACTCAATAAGTATTTGTGGAATAAATGAAGAAGCATTATGTTTTGCATGGTATTACCATAGGGGAGGCATTTTATATCCTTGAAATTTTTCTAGTAATTTTAAAATAATAATAAAATGTTTTTAATAAAATATCATTTTATTGAGGGAAAACTTAAATCGAATGAACTGACACTTATCTTTTTAATGAAATTCTTATACTTAGTAGAATTTTTAAATGATTTACGTAATCTAAACCATTCCACCTTACGTTAAGGGTGCCTATAATCGATTCTTATATACCCTATGCTAACTGAGGAATGAATATGCAAGATGCCTTCAGAGGATCGAAGCAAACAGACCAGTTTAAGTTCCTTGTGACACATAGCAAATTATAAAATGAACCATCATTACTTAATTTTTAGTTTATAAGTACATAAAATAATAGCTGTCTGTTTGTTTTTCTTATAGTCCCGCAAGCACTTATCTCGGGAAGAAAGTTTATCCTGGGAAGCTTCTGATTTGAAAGAGCTTATAAACAATAAACTATTAGTATTTGGAAACCCTGGTGGTGTAGTGGTTAAGCGATATGGCTGCTAACCAAAAGGTCAGGAGTTTGAATCCACCAGCCGCTCCTTGGAATCCCTATGGGGCAGTTCTACTCTGTCCTATAGGGTTGCTTTGAGTCGGAATCAACTGGACAGCTATGGGTTTTATCAGTATTTACAAAAAAAAAAACCCCAAACCTGTTGCCACTGAGTTGATTCCAACTCATTGCAACCCTGTAGGACAGAGCAGAACTGCCTTACAGGGTTTCCACGGCTGTAGTCTTTATGGAAGCAGGCTGCCACATCTTTCTCCCGTGGAGCAGTTGGTGGGTTTAAGCCATCAACCTTTTGGTTAGCATCCGAGCGCTTAACCACTGCGCCACCAGGGCTCTTTATTACTATTTAGAAAACTATTAACTATAAAACTACCTCCTCAGGTGTTTACTTACAGAGACTTGAGTTTGACAAGATAATCAAATTGGTTTCCTTGGATTTTCTGGATTGGGTTATAGGAAAGATTCCTGTTTAAAAAAAAAAAAGTCAGCAATAAGTCATTGCTAGAAATTGCCTGAGTGAAGAGAAAGTGTATTTGTTGACTTTGGGTTATTTATCTTTTTTAATTACCAAAAAAAATAATAATAGCACTTGTTCCGTGGGGTTGATTGGACATATAAATGAGTTAATAGAGACAGAACCTCACAGTGCTGCCTCTTAGTAAGCGCTCTGTGATTGTGTTTGTGATAGAGAGACAGCTAACGCAACATGAGCATGAAGGCAGAGCGGTCAAGAGGGCTTCTGCCAGAGAAGTGGGAGGGTACCCAGAGAGAAGTCACTCCTACTTCCCATTTTGCCTGGAATCAAGAGTGGTTTAAATAAAATAAAAAGAACCTTAGTCAACATTTGAATTAACAGAATCACACCTAATTTTTTTTTAATCTTATATCAAAGAGTGACATATTGTGCTAATGATTTGCAAGGCATGGAATAAACAATAAAAGGCTATAGCCAGGGACAAAGGGTCATAGATCAGAATGACAGTACAGCTGAATTTAAAGGGAGAAAATTTCAGAATCTTTGACAAGATCATTGATTAAAGGGGACTTCTTTTTTTAAGACATTTATTGTACATTAGAGCATGAGTTAGGTGAATGATGGAAGGAGCTGCAGGTGGAGAGATGGTTACAGAAAGAAGGAAAGAGACGAAGAGTGAAAATGGAAAGTGAGTTATATATGAAAAAAGTGGAGAAATTGGTATCAGTCTTACAATTGTGAGAGGTCCTTCAGATCCTTAAACACATGTGGTGGAAGATATTCAATCTTATTATTTCCTAAATCCCTAGGGAAATAATTGCAAACATATTATTTTCTAAAGACTTTATTCATTGTTCTGAAATTCATTAGTAAGCCCTTATACAACTTCCTAATAATGCTGTTGATGAGTTATTCTCCTTCCTCCTTCCCTCCCTTCCTCCCTGCCTTTCTTTCTTCCTTACCTCCTTTTGTCTTGGGGTAAGAATACTTTCTGGGGTCTTAATTTTTTTCTTTTACATGAGTTTATTATGATTATTAAACAGTGGATTATTTCACACGTGTATACATAGGATCTCATATACTCCTGGGAGAAGTATACTTTGCACGTATGTGTAGAGGTGGGGCTGCCTAACATGATGTGACCTTATAGCTTAGTTGTAAGATTTTTTTGAGAGTAAGCAGCCCTTGAAGCAACATTAATCACTCTGTGAGAAAAGTTTTTGATTCTTCTAAACAATATAAAGTTTCAGTAGGTTTGAAGCTATATACCTACTCCTCGCTTATTGACTATCTTGTTATCTGACATTTCACAGTTAGTAAAAAATCTACTATCCAACTCTTTTTCGCATTAATGATGTACATCTGGCAGTAACAAACATCGAGGTGCGAGGCAAGAGTAATGCTGTTTGTGATGATTAAGGTTCTGCGTCAACTTGGCTAGGCCATGATTCTCAGCTGTTTGGCAGTTCCATTATGATGTAATCTGGCAGTTATGTAATGATGTGGTCATCCTACATTTTTGCGTAATGACCTGATCTTTGGAACCTAACCATGTCAATAAGTGAGGAGTGGGAATATATCTCTGAGTGCTCTAAGGTGATCAAAAAATACGAAAAGGAAGCCTAACCGTCCTCCCTACCCATCTCCAATCCTATTAGTTACCGCAGGAGAGGGTGGAGGATAGACCCTACTTGTTACATACCCTGGGATGCTTAGAAGTCAAAGATAGATTATTCAATTTTGAAGAGCAGGATAATTTTAGATTGAGTTTTTAAAACTAAAAATGAGTGGCTAATATAATCTGATATTATAAATGACTTCCCTGTAAATGTTTTATTTTCATACTGTTAGTTGAACCTTGAGACTAATTTTATGTTATTTACATATTTATGGGAGAATTGTCTAGGAAAATGGGTTGTTTTCATTCAATCACCAGAGGAATCTTTCTAAAATTTCCTCTTCTTAAAATCCTTCCATAGCTCACTGTTGCCTAGAAGATAAGATCAAAACTGCTTTTGTTGTTTGGTGCCTTCGAGGCGGTTTCAACTCATAGTGACCCTACAGGACAGAGTAGAACTGCCTCATAGGGTTTCCAAGGAGCAGCTGGTGGATTTGAACTGCCAACCTTATCGTTAGCAGCTGGGCTCTTAACCACTACACCACCAGGGCTCAAAACTACTTTATGTGGCATAAAAAGCCTTTAAGTATCTGAATATCTTGCCATTGTCAATATTTCCAGCCCCATTTCCCACCACTTTCTACTCAGTCAAAATGAACTTTATCTAAATGCACATCAGTATTATAACCTCCATGCTTTTACATGGGTGCTTCCCTCTACCTGTAATAAACTTTGCTCCTTGCCCTTCTGGTGAACTCCTATTCATCCTTCAAGACTCTTCTCAAATGTCACTCCTCTATGAGGCCTCTTATGCTCAGGAAGGTTACATATTCTCTCCTCTGTTCTCCTATATACTCCTTTTGCACACTTCTATTGTACCATATATAACATATAGCACATATAACATTATATTAAAACCGTTTCTGTATATATATAATTAGCTTAGTTTTGGACTAGCTATTATTTCCATTCCCTGTTAGAAGACTATTAATAGACTGAATTGATCTCCTCTATATTTGGGCAAAAGTAGGGCACAATTCTAATTCCTTTATGTGAAACCAAATAAAATATTGATCACGTTAGTAAAGTGATGTGCAAAATAGATTTAGAGTCCTCCATCAGAATATCCAAATATCCAAATAAAACTCCAAATATCATGTTCAGTAGTTTCCGGTGGGAATGCCTGGTTTTGCTAAATTCTAGGATACAGTTCTTATAGTGTGAATCATGTAACAGGATAGTGTTGGTCTAGATCTAGGTGACATTTGAGAAGATCATTACTTGAGCTTTAGCGTAAGATTGTCAGTCTAAATTCAGTTAGACTTGAGGCCCACTTCTGAATTAATTTGTTGTTGTTAGGTGTTATCCAGTCATTTTTGACTCAGAGCAACCCCATGTGACAGTAGATCTGCTCCATAGGGTTTTCTTGGCTGTAATCCTTATGGAAGTGGACCACTAGGTCTTTCTTTTTGTAGAGCCGGTGTGTGGGTTCAAACTACTAACTTTTTGGTTAGCAGCCAAGAGGTTAACTGTTTGCACCACCAGGGCTCCTCATTATCAACTAACCAGAACCAAACCCATTGCCATTGAGTCAATTCTGACTCACAGTGACCCTACAGGACAGAGTAGAACTGCCCCATAGGGTATCTAAGGGGCGCCTGGTGGATTTGAACTGCCAACCTTTTGGTTAGTAGACAAATGCTTACCACTGAGCCACAGGGCTTCTCATTATCAGCTAGAGTAATTTATTTTAAAAACACAAATTAAAACAAATGTATGACAAAGATTTTCTGTCACCAGGACTAAAGTCGCCTGTGACAAATTAATCCTCTGTGACAAGTGGATCCTAATTATTGACAATTTTTTCACTCTTATTAATTCTACTTGTAAGATCAAACCCTCTCTCAAAGGACAGTTATATTCTTTTTCTAGATCTATCCATTAAAAACTAGCACCTCTTAGAAAACATGCCATTTTCATCCTTGTAAGTCTGATATTTCAGGCCAGGATTTAATATGGGATTAAGCAGGCTTTAGGCAGGACTAATTATTGGCGTTGGTAACTCACTCTGCCATTTTTGTGAATCTTTCCTTGGATGAGCACTGGCTACTGACTAAGCTATTTGTGTTGCATGTTCACTGCTGGTTACTGACAGTCACACAAAACCTGCAGCTTTCTGTCACCAAGAAGGTCAGGATGTGGAGGAATTGTCGTCTGATGTTCAGATACTGATTTCAAGTTGGCTAAAACTAGGGAAAGTGTGGATCCCTTGACAAACCTGTATTTTTTTTTTGTATGTTATGAATATAATTTTTACTTTGTTTAATAAACATTAATTTTTTCCTATTTTTTTACAAGTGTGATTAAATTACATAACTTTTTCAAAATGAAATCTATTTATTTAAAAAATTAAAACATTCACATTGTAGACCCATCAGAAAATAGACAAGCAAAATGAACGTAAATCCTCATAATATCCTTCCAGACAGTTGCTTATGTACAGTTTTGTGTACTATGTATAATTTTTAAGCAGATCATGCCAACTATTTTGTTTGGTAACTTGCATTTTTACCTAATACATCAAGACTATCTTTGCATGTGAATAGACACATTTCAGCAACATTTTTAATGGAAATATCTTATTTCATTGTTTGGATGTTCAGTAATACTAACCAATTTCTTCTTGCTGACATTTGAGTTGTTTTTCTTTTTACTATCACAGTTTTGAACATTATCTCTGTGCACGTGTCTGATTCTTGTTTTAAATAATATTTTATTGAGTTTTTGGTGAAAGTGTATTTTAATGGCTGGATAATACCTTTGGGTCACCTCTCCCTACTATGGAGAACAAAATAATTTCATGTATGCTGATAACATGATTCGATTGTCATATACCAGGAGCTGTTGTCCCAAAGGAGTCCCTGGGTAGTGCAAATAATTAATATACTTGGCTGCTAATCAAGTCTGCCTCGAGGCACCTTGGAAGAAAGGCCTGCTGATCTACTTCAAAAAAATCAGCCATGGCAAACCCTATGGAGCACAATTCTACTTTGATACACATGGGGTTGCCATGAGTTGGAGTTGACTCGTTGACAGCTGGTTTTTTTTTTTTTTGTTGTTGTCACAGATGCTTGATTCTAATCTCTATTGATATTTTCCTGTGGATGTTGTTGATGGTTGTTACTGTCTACCAAAAAATGTTCTAGGCTAAAATCCTTATGGAAAAAAATATTGAGGTTCCAATGGCTCGTTCATTGATGTGCTGGAACAGAACTTTTCCTGAGAAATGTTCCTGCTTATGGCATACGTATTCCCTCCACCTGCCTCAGTGTCCAGGTGCGGTGCCATAACACTGTAGTTACGTTCTTTAATTTTTATGAAAAATGTTTTTAATAAATCAGTGCTCCACACAGCTAATCGTCAAAACATATGGCTGGGTCCACACTCCAGATTCTTTGCAGAGAACACAAAATCAAACTAGCTGCTAGTCAAACTTTAGCAAAAAACTCATTTGAGAAGAATAATACTAAAAATTAAAAATTGCCTGAAAACACACTTTCCATCCATTGTTCTCTATATATTTTATTTTAACAATTGTTGTTCTTGTTGTAAGGTGCCCCCTCATCAGTTCTGACTCATAGTGACCCTATGTACAACAGAACGAAACATTGCCCGGTCCTGTGCCATACTCACTATTGTTGTTATGCTTGAGCCCGTTGATGCAGCCATTGTGTCAATCCATCTCATTAAGGGTCTTCCTCTTTTTCACTGACCCTCTACTTTACCAAGCATGATGTCCTTCTCCAGGGACTGATCCCTTTTGATAACATGTCTAAAGTACATGAGACAAAGTCTCGCCATCCTTCCTTCTAAGGAGCACTCTGGCTGTACCAAAGATAGGTTTGTTTGTTTTTTTGGCAGTCCATGGTATAATCAATATTCTTCTCCAACATCATAATTCAAAGGTATCAATTCTTCTTCGGTCTTCCTTATTCATTGTCCAGCTTTCACATGCATATAGGCGATTGAAAACACCATGACTTGGGTCAGGGGCATCTTAATCTTCAAGGTGACATCTTTGCTTTTTAACACTTTAAAGATGTCTTTTGCGGCAGATTTGCCCACTGCAATGCATCATTTGATTTCTTGACTGCTGTTTCCATGGGTGTAGATTGTGGATCCAAGTAAAACAAAATCTTTGACAACTTCAATCTTTTCTACATTTATCATGATGTTGCTTGTTGGTCCAGTTGTGAGGATTTTTGTCTTCTTTATGTTGAGATGTAATCCATACTGAAGGCTGTGGTCTTTGATCTTTATCAGTGAGTGCTTCAAGTCCTCTTCACTTTCAGCAAGCAAGGCTGTGTCATCTGTATATCGCAGGTTGTTAACGAGTCTTCCTCCAGTCCTGATGCCACATTCTTCATATAGTCCAGCTTCTCAGATTATTTGTCAGCATACAGATTGAATAAGTATGGTGAAAGTATACAACCCTGATGCACACCTTTTCTGGCTTTAAACCACGAAGTATCCCCTTGTTCTGTTCAAAAGACTGCATCTTAATCTATGTACAGGTTTCCTTATGAGCACAATTAAGTGTTCTGGAATTCCCATTCTTCATAATGTTATCCAAAATTTGTTATGATCCACACAGTCTAATGCCTTTGCATAGTCAATAAAACACAGGTAAACATCTTTCTGGTAGTCTCTCTTTTAGCCAGGATCCATCTGACATCAGCAATGATATCCCTTATTCCACGTCCTCTTCTGAATCCAGATTGAATTTCTGGCAGTTGCCCGTAGATGTAATGGTGCAACTGTGTTTGGATGATCTTCAGCAAAATTTCACTTTAGTGTTATATTAATGATATTGTTCAGTAATTTCTGCATTCTGTTGGATCACCTTTCTTTGGAAGAGGCATAAATATGCATCTCTTTGAGTCGGCTGGCCAGGTAACTGTCTTCCAAATTTCTTGGCATAGATTAGTGAGCACTTCTAGCACTGCGTTCGTTTGTTGAAACATCTCAGTTGATATTCCGTCAATTCCTGGAGCCTTGTTTTTTCCCAATGTCTTCAGTGGAGCTTGGACTTCTTCCTTTAGTACCATTGGTTCTTGATCATATGCTGCCTCCTGAAATGGTTGAATGTCGACCAATTTTTTTGGTACAGTGACTGTGTATTCCTCCCATCTTCTTTTGCTGCTTCCTGGGTAATTCAATATTCTGCCCATAGAATCCTTAACTATTGCAACTCGAGGCTTGATTTTTTCTTCAGTTCTTTCAGCTTGAGGAATGCCTAGCTTGTTCTTCCCTTCTGGTTTTCTAACTTGATGTCTTGCACATGTCATTATAATACTTCACTTTGTCTTTTACTTCAACATTTCTTCTGTTCGCTTGTTCAAGAAGAGCAAGTTTCAGAGCCTCTTCTGACTTCCATTTTGGTCTTTTCTTTCTTTCCTGTCTTTTTAGTGACCTCTTCCTTTCTTCTGATGTCCTTGATATCATTCCACAACTCTTCTGGTCTTTGGTCATTGTGTTTAATGTATCAAATCTATTCTCGATATGGTCTCTAAATTCAGGTGGGATATACTCAAGGTCATACTTTGGCGCTCGTGGACTTATTCGAATTTTCTTCAGTTTCAACTTGAACTTGCATATGAGCAATTAATGGTTTCTTCTGCAGTCTGCCCCTGGCCTTGATCTAACTTATGATATTGAACTTTTCCATCATCTCTTTCCACAGATATAGTTGATTGGATTCCTGTGTATTCCATCTTGTGAGGTCTACATGTATAGTCACTGTTTACATTGTTGAAAAGGCATTTGCAATGAAGAAGTCATTGGTGTTGCAAAATTCTATCATGCGATCTCCTGCATCATTTCTGTCACCAAGACCATATTTTCCAACTACTGATCCTTCTTCTTTGTTTCCAACTTTTGCATTCCAATCACCAGTAATTATCAATGCATCCTGATTGCATGTTTGATCAATTTCAGACTGCAGAAGTTGGTAAAAATCTTCAGGTTCTTCATCTTTGGCCTTAGCAGTTAGTGGGTAAATTTTAATAATAGTTGTATTAACTTGTCTTCCTTGCAGGTGTATGGATATTATCCAATCACTGACAGTGTTGTATTTCAGGATAGATCTTGAAATGTTCTTTTTGAAGATGAATGCAGTGCCATTCCTCTTCTATTTGATATTCCTAGCATAGAAGACTATATGATTTTCCAATTGAAAATGGCCAATACCAGTCCATTTCAGTTCACTAATGTCTAGGATATCGATATTTATGCTTTCCATTTCATTTTTGATGGCTTCCAATTTTCCTAGATTCATACTTCGTACATCCCACGTTCCAATTATTAATGGATGTTTGCAGTTGTTTCTTCTCATATTAAGTTGTGCCACGTCAGCAAATGAAGGTCCTGAACAATGACACCAATGAAGGTCCTAACAAGTATCTGCTGTATACTTGGTCCACGTGGTTTTGGTTCACCCTAGAATTGTTTTAATGCCCTTTGGCATTGTGTCACTGATCTTAAAAATGGACATTATAAAAATAGCTCTTTGAATGATCTCTTCCATTATTATAGGGAGGGATATCATCCATGACGGTTTCTAATTTCCTTAAGGATCTAGGAGAAAGATTATCCTTTGGTTTTGGAATCAGCAAGGTGGTGCCTTTTTGTCTTATGATCTCTGAATCCTAAGCCTCTAGGAAGCTTAAAGACATTTACTGTCCTTCTCTAGCAGTGGGACAGAGTGGACTAGGATATGCTTTATATGTTAATTTTACCCTGGCTCTATTCTTTCCCTACATCTGTGCTTTCTTTACCTATTTCCTTCAAATATTTATTTTATATTTTTCTTTTACGTATATTCTTGTTAGATATCTGAATTCTTTTGTAGTCTACCACCACCAGTTCTCGCTGAGTTGGTTCTGACTCATGGTGACCCCATCAGCCAAGGACTACATAAATGATGCTTGGAAAAAAGGAGATAATTACTATTTCTTAAATATATGAAAGCATATATGCATAACAAAGATGAAGTAAAGCAGTAGAGCAAAAAATCTTAATGCTATACATTTAGTCAAACTTACAATTCATCTAGTTTCTGGAGAGATGCGAAAGTATTTTCACTTAAGTGATTTATTTTATTTTTCCTCATTATCCTGAAAGTGTAAAGAAAAGCACATTGTAACTTCTTGAGGTAACTGATACATGAGTTATTACGGAAAAGATTAATAGTCTGCAAAAACAAAGATAACTATTTATAGTGCATTTTTCACATCAAGATATGTTGAAGTAGTATAAAAAAGATCCAATTTAATTTTCACCTTAAGTTTCCCAAATCTTTTAATGGTGACAAAAATAAAATAAAATTCAAATTGTTAAGTGCATAGGGAAAAGCTTGGCAATGAAATAGTGAAAACCACAATTCTTGCAAATATAGACTGAATATCATGCAAGTGATTGGGAGCTGTTTTCGAGCCACCTTTTCTGTCAGCATAGCACATGTCCGTCTAGCAAAATACCACACACGATATAGCACTCATACACATTTGTTAGTTGATGTGATTTAGGGTGGAGCTGCCTGAGGAAGTCTAATCTAAGCTAGACCAATTCAGAAAATCTCTTGTTTGGGATGTTGAATCATACTGTAACTCTTGACAGTTCATTTCTGTACTAGTAGAAAGGACAAACTCATAGAAAAGTTTTAATGGGCTTCCAGTTCTGTAAATGTTTTGTGACATGCCTGCCAGTTGGCCTTGTCCCATCCTTAAGTACCTAATTCCTCTCAGCACTCCAACCATCACCACCTCCTCTCAGTGTCCCTGCGCCAGAAAAGCGCACGCACCTGCCAAGAGGAAACCCACAAGTGGTTTCTTTCTTCTTCTTTTTTTTTAAGGTGGAAAATGTAGTTAACGTTATTTTTATAAGAAAATAATACATGCTATGGTAAAAAAAAAAAAAAAAAGAAACAAAACAGAACAAAACCCAACAACAATTCACATCACACAGAAGGGCATAAAGCAAAAGACACCAATTTTTACTCCAGAGTTTTCAGTCTTGCTTCCAAGAGCAAACTACTGTTAATGGTTTCCTATGTATTGCTCCTGAAATGTACATGCCTATTCAAAGATGTTTAAACAGGTGCATATATAACACAAATGATTTCTTCATACAGAGATTTCCTTAAAAACAAATATAAGTGGAACACAAAATAAATTCTAATTTTTTCAGATATCTATTTGATCTGTGTCCTTAAGGTACAATTTGGTTTCCTTTCCGCAATCAGCATGAGGTTTTTTTGTTTTTGTTTTTTTTACTGCGGTGAATATATAAATTTATGTATAAAACATTTGCCATTTCAACAATCTTCACATGTACAGTTCAGTGAAATCAATTACATCCATCATGTTATTCACTCGTAACATGAGCTATTTTGCATGACTGATGTAAAGCACACTGCATCTGAAGATTGCAGAACTCACTCAGCAGAAAAGTTCAAACTTTTCAGTAGCTTTGAACCCATTGGAATGAGGGGCATATTGGAGAAAATATAGTGCTGTAGCAGTGATAGATATTGCATTGCTTATACACAGGGGTCTTATGTACTCTAAGATGATGGTTTCCAAACATTTTCAAAGGCAACCTACAGTAAAAAAAAAATTCCTTTTTCATCAGGACATAAAATACACACACCCATACTACCCAAGTTTCATGGAACAATACCTTTATTATTTGCACTGCACTCTGATATTTTACACTCAATTCAATTCAATTCTATTTCATTAAAAAGAAATACTGGTCAGGACATGCTAGATTGATCTTGCTACATTGCTTTCATCACTCACCTGTGAGTTGCAACCCACAGTTTAAAAAACATTGTTCTGGGAAAATTAACAGGAATGAGGCAGTTGTATTTTTATATCTAAGGAAGCTCCAGCTTTCAATGATTTTGACTGTGTACTTCACTTTCTAAAAACTTCACGTTGAGAGTGAACATTTGCCAAAATTAACATGGGTATTCATGCTAACTTCTGTCCACATAAATGACTCATTTTGCTTGTAAAGGGATATAACATTACTTAAAAAGGATAATTACTTACAAAACAGTTAAACTACTGCAGGAAATAAAAGTCAAATTTCTTAAATTATGGATATGGTTGCCTTCAAAGTCCCTGGAAAATAAAAACAAAACATGACAAACTGATTTTTAATCATAAGCAGAAATAAATTGGTTAAGAATGATTTACCTTTCTAATAAAATATCTTTTTTAATATACTGTTTACTTCCTATAGATTTCACTTGTAGCCTTTTATGTGCTAGCTGAAATAGTATACATATCAAATGCTTCCTTTTTGTTTTTAGTAAAAATATTTTAAGACCCGTCTGTATCGTGTGTTCATATAGGCACGTATGTTATCCTGAGAAATGTGAACAGAGTAAGAAGTCAAACTGAAAATATTTATGATGGTATATACCCATTTTATTAACAGATATTTATGAGCTGCCTTAATATGAACCTTATTAAATTTTGGTCAGTGTTACTGTTATGGATTGAATTGTGTCCCCCAAAAATGTGTATCAACTTGGGTAGGCCATGATTCCCAGTATTATGTGATTGTCCACCATTTTGTCATCTGATGTGATTTTCCTATGTGTTGTCAATCTTACCTCTATGATGTTAATGAGGCAAGATTACAGGCAGTTATGTTAATAAGGCAGGACTCAATCTACAAGATTAGGTTGTATCTTGAGTCAATCTCTTTTGAGATACAAAAAAGAGAAGAAAGCAGAGAGACAGGGGGACATCATACTACCAAGAAAGCAGTGCCAGGAGCTCCTGCCTGGAGAAGCTCCTAGCTCAGGGGAAGATTGATGACAAGGGCCTTCCCCCAGAGCAAACAGAGAGAAAAAGTCTTCCCCTGGAGCTGGCACCCTGAATTTGGACTTCTAGCCTCCTAAACTGTGAGAGAATAAATATCTCTTTGTTAAAGCCATTCACTTGTGGTATTTATGTTATAGCAGTGCTAGATGACTAAGACAGTTACCTTTTCCTAAGCAGTGTGACCTTATGTTACTACAGCTTACAAGTGATTCTATTATTGCTGCAGATACTGCTATTTCCATAAACAATATTTATCCCCCACCTCCCCACACTTCCTAGAGAAAAGTTTCAATAACTTTTTGTCACTGGAAAAACCCTTGTTTGCTTTATTATAGCATCATAAAGTCCAGGGAGACCAACAGGCTGTCTTTCGATTCTTCTCCCTCAGTTCAGGGAGCTGCATATATAGATCTGACTTGAGCTCCTCTGCCGTGTGACACTGTGTCACCATGGAGTCTGGTCTGAACACCAAAATTTGCCATCAGATTTATGTTTTATTCATAGTTATCATGAAGTTAATTTTTTTTTACATTTTTTTTGGTGCAAATATACACAGTCATACACTATCTCAACAATTTCTATGTGTACAACTCAGTGACATTCTTCAAGTTGTGCAAATATCTCGCCCTCCTTCTCCAGATTGTTCCACCACCATTGACTTAAACTGACTGCCTGCTAGGCTTCTCATCTAAACTTTTGAGTTACTGTTGTCAATTTGATCTCCCATAGATAATTGTTTAAAAGAACATAATGCTCAAGGCAGACACACTTTACTTATTAAAATAAACTATTTTTTGATTCAAAGAAGACATGAAGTTAGTCTTTTATTGCTCCCTCCCCTTATCTGATCAGTAGGTGGAAGTTTGTGGAGCAGCAACAGAGAGTTAGCTGAGGTTTTCAAGATACCTTCAGAAGTAAATAGCCCTTCCCTTAAATCTACCAGGTCTATCCCAACACTTAGTTTACTCATCACCACAAAACATAAAGTTATTCAGGAATAATTGTGACTGAAATATATGAGCTGAAGTGTGATACATGTACTAAAAGCTGTAATGTAAACACGGTTAGCATTAATAGAAGTGCTTACACTCTGCTGGTAAGTCTACCTGTGGGATGCCAATAGAAACTAAACCTGTTGCCGTCAAGTTGATTCTGACTCATAGCTACCCTATGGGTCTGAGTAGAACTGCCCCATAGAGTTTTCAAAGATCTGCTGGTGGATTCGAATGGTCAACCTTTTGGTTAGCAGCCGAGCTCCCAACTACTACATCACCAGGGCTCCATCTGTGGGATAGTTGGCTTTATTTATTTATATACAAATAAATATATACACTGCATTAAAAATAAATGTTGACAAATCAAGGCATATCTAGTGGTGCAGTGGTTAAGAGCTCAGCTGCTAATCAAAAGGTCGGCAGTTGAAAATCCACCAGCTGCCCTTTAGAAATCCTATAGGGCAGTTCTACTCTGTCTTATAGAGTTGCTATAAGTTGGAATCAACACAGTGGCAACAGCTTTGGTTTTTTGGTTTTTGTTAAATACATACACTGCACTAAAAATAGATGTTTACAATCAAGGCATATCTGGAAGACCTAGGAGACAGGATTAAGGGATCTGGAAAGCAAGTCAGTTGAAGACAATGATGTATTTATGACAGAGAAGAGCTAAATGGAGACGTATATTTGAAGTCAGGCTGCAGAAGATATAGGATTTTTCTATGCTGCATTAGATTGTAAAATTAGATTTACTAGTTGGAGGACACAAAACATTTCAAATTTAAGTTCAAAATTTCTAATGATCTATGGTGTCTAGAGAATAAGCTTCTTGATACTAGAGGTATTTAGCAGAGGCAATATACCGTATCTCAAGAATTTTGTAGCCAGGATTTCTGTATCGTATAGGATATTATAATCTTAAATCTTGAATCTGGATCATCCTCCTAAAGAAAATTTTCTGTTATTCTGTTTTAAAAAAGCTTAAGCTTTTTTGTTGTTGTTACTAGGTTTGGCCAAGGCTCTTGGCTTCTGTTAGAATGTATGATGCCTATGGCAGAGACTGGCCATTTCCATTCCTTATTTTATTGCTGTTACCATGAATCTACCACCAGGTGGTGATGTTGTCTTTGGCCTCACAAATTACCTTCCAGCGAGTTCAAGTTCTTGTTTAGCTTCTCCTGTAACTGTTTTTTTTTTCTGTTAAATTAGCAAAAATATTTAAGGTGGTACTAATTTATTAATTTGTAAAAAATGAGTAAGAGGCATACATCTAGACACAAATTAGGGGATTCTGAATAATTCAAATAGTTTAATTTAATTTTGAGCTTAATTTAACCATGGGTTGTAAATTTGCTTTGACTTTTTTCCTAGAAGTAGAGGTTTTTGGTGCTTGATATGCAAGGGTCTGGTCTGCAGCATGCATATTAGCCGAGGCATAAAAACCTGCTTCTTACTCCTCAGCTCTAAGCCCTAATGAAGATGACAGAGGGTGTTTTCTTACTGTGTGTCTAGACTACCTTTCACATTTAATGAGCCTCTCAACTTAACCATTTATTTTTCCCTTTATACACGTCAGAACTAGCTGAAATGAACATTTGGTTCTTTGATACGAAGTAAAACAACAACAAAAAATCCCAAACACCAGTAATCTTGCCTGTTCCTTTCAACTTCCTGTCTTACCCTGCGGTGGCACCTAAATATGCAAATCTCTTTAATCTCCTCTTCCTCCCCTGTCTTTTAAACATTTCTGGCTTCTATCTCACAGAAAAAGTAGAGGTGATGGGAAAAGGAGAACTTCTTTACTTTCTGCCTCTACATTCATAAACCTACCTGTATACACACCTGGTCTCCTTCTATTCTCAGAGGAAGAGATGGCCCTTTTCCTGCTTTAGGCTAATCCCTCCATCTCTTCCTTGAGCTTGGTTTGTGTATGCGTCTTAAAATATATGTTCAATTTTGGTGAATGTTCTTTGGACGTTCTTTGCTTTTAAGTTTTTGTCTGTTTGAATTAGGTACAAGTATGTATATATATTAAAAAAAAAACCAAACTTGTTGCCATCGCGTTGACTTTGACTCATAGTGACCCTATAGAACAGAGTAGAACTGCCCCATAGGGTTTCCAAGGAGTGGCTGTTGGATTTGAACTGCTAACCTTTTGGTTAGCAGCTGTAGCTCTTAACTACTGCACCACCGGGGGGTACATACTATAACAGCATAAATACATAAGGGCTTTTTTTCCAGAAAAAAATCAAGTGTAGAGTTAGGTAGTCCAGGCCTGGCATGGTAGTTTCATAAGGTTGTTAGACACTCCAAATCTTTCATAGTCACTGTTCACGTGTCCTTGTCTTTACTGCCCAAGATGATACTAAAGCTAAGTCATCATATCCATTTTTTCTGGATGAGGAAGGAAAGGGAAGGGTCTGCCTCTTACTCTTCAAGGAGACTTCCCAGAAGGCTCTACTTCTGCTTATGTCTCATTAGTTAGAACTCAGTCACATGGTCACATCTAGATGCAAGAAAGGTGGGAAATGCAGACTTTTAGCTAGGCACATTGCTGCTCTGAGTAAATCAGCTCTGTTATTGAGTAGGGGTAGAGAAGGGACAATGGAGTTTGATAAACATCAATTAGAGCTACTTTATTATATTGTTTAGTTCTCCATATCCTTAAGTTTTTTGTTTTACTTGATCTCTCATGCACTGAAAAAGATAAATATTTCTTACTGCTTAGGCATGTCTATTTTTCTCCGTGTTTTTGGTTGCTATATGAATGCTATTTGATGTATATAGACTCATATTATGTATTTTATTGGAAATTGCACATTGTAGCATTAAAATGTCATTCTTTGTGTTATTTAATGTCTTCCTCTAAGTGGTTCCAAACAAGTATATTTTAAATCACTACGTCTAGTTCTCCTAACATTTATGTGTCTTGCTTTATTACCAGGTTATGTTTCCAGTTTCAGCCTCCGTGGAGTCGAGTCAATTCCGACTCATGGCAACCTCACATTTTGCAGAATAGAACTGTGCTCCATAGGCTTTCGTGGTTGCAACCTTTCAGAAGCAGATCGCCAGGTCTGCCTTCTGAGGCACCTATGTGTGGGTTTGAACCACCAACCTTTCAGTTCACTTAACTGTTTGCGCTACCCAGAGACTCCTATCCGATTGTTAGTTGTCACTTGATCTATGAGCTTAGAAATCAAACAATTGACCTTTTGGGAATTTCCTACCAAATAAGAGACTGAGGGAGTTTTTATATGACTAAAATAGGGTATAAGCAGTTTAAGGATTGAACTTTTTAAGAGTTATTTTGGTTTTTTATTTTTTCATTGTCACCTGTATTCTGAATAGGCAAATTTACTGGATATTTGAGCTCTGAATAGGTAGATGACGATACCACCAGCAAAGTTACTATGTAACAAATTCTATGCAACTTATTCTATTGTGATGAGATTAAAAAAATACTAAGTATCATATTCTTGTTATTCAGAATTCGGGAATGAAACAAAAGTGACTATTCTTTCTATAGTAAATTAATATATGAATGGATGAACTGGGAAAGGTGGGATGTTATATAAATATTACCCGTTCTTCATCCCTTCTGCTTTCTTTCTTCCTGACTCCAAAAAAAATTTTTTTTTGAGTTGTTTTATTTTGGTGAGCACTTAGAGGAGTTAGAGTAGATAATAGGGATATTTAATATACAAATCACGCTAAAGTAATTTGAGAAAATGTAATATGATATTAACAATTTATCATGATAAAAACACTGATATCCAAAATGAATTAGGCAAAATCTAAAAATTAGTTGACTTTAAAAAGAGAGAGAGCAACTTACAGCCAATCTAGCCTTGGCATGTGCTGGCAAAGAGGTTTATCAGGCAGACGAGTGAGGGCGTTATTCATCAGCACTCTGAAAAAGAGAAGAAAACAAAAGGAGTCACGGTTTTCTGAATCTTTTCTCATCTTAAGTCAAATGTGGCAATATTATTATTATTGTTGTTACTCCTATGAAACCATGAAAATCAACTAAGTTAGCTGTCTACTAATTTTCTCTGTGAGTCCTGTCATATTTACGTGCTTATTAGTAATAAAATTTTGACGAGGGTTAGTTATAATATCAGAGGGATATCAGCAATGTTAGTAACTGAAACAAAGCCCATGCCCTTCAACAGTGGTCACAGATGGGAGTGGCTTTAGATGAATGTTGGTTTTCTTCACCAATATTAATATAGGACGCTAATGTTTGCTTAAGAACGCTTCCATAAAATATGAGAGTGAGGTGGTATTTAGTTTTGGTGGACTGACATTCCAGAAACAGAAGGCCTTATAAAATTGTTCGAATTCTTAAAACTACAAAACAGCCTTGTAGAATTTAGCGAAGAAATGGTTTTCAGCTGAAAAGTCCTTTTTAGGGTTTTAAGAATTTCTAAGTTAATACTTTCACACTTGATGCAGTAATTTTTATTCATGTCCTTTGCTTCAATTGAAATATTTGTTTTAGTTTAGTACTTACAAGAGAATAAGAGAATTTAGTCCATAAAATGTTAGTGGGGAAATTCGACTGAGGTGATTATCTTCAATTATCCTGCCAGCCAGAAGAAAAGAAATTGATTCATTTATATACTTTTAGATTGCAATAACTAATATGATAAAATACCACATAAATAAAACATACAGCCATTCTAATCTGTGGAGATCTTCAAAAACACCCGGCTTCAAGAAGGTTATTCTGTTATGACTGAGATATCTGAAAATGGACAAATGGATAGAATAAAATTGTACTGTCTTGATATTTTACAGTAAGGAAAGCTAAAAAAAAAAAAAATCACCCATCTTAGATTTCCCTATATACGAATCTCATCATGACATTCCTCTGCCACTGAATCTGTGAAATTTTCTTATCATTTACCTTACCATGGCTGGCTTCAAGCTTTTCCACAATCAGTTAATTCACCTGTTTCTTCATTTAATCATCACGTTGTTCTGAGTGCCTGCTCTGGGGCCCTGCACGAGCTACGTCATTCCCTTCTTTGAGGGGCGGAGAGTCGAGAGGGGAGACTGCCTGTGCGCAGCTTATTACAGCAACATAGGGGAAAAGACAAGAGCGTATGACGTGTGGCTGCTCTGTCATTGTAGAGGAGAAAACACGTGGTTTTGTTGGGGGTGGAGACTGTGGAGCACTGAGCCTAAGGATAGCAAGGGATGATGCCACATGTTAGAGCCACTTCCTTCCTTCCCTTGCAAACGTAAAGCGCAGCCGGGGTCAGGAAGGTGTAAGGAACAGCTTCAATCCTTCCCCTTTAACATCTCAGGAGGTTCTCTTAAAGCCAAGCCCCCCGACCCCGCCCCAGGTAAAAGGCACTGGATCCACTCCTGCACCATATACTCCTCTGTTTCGCCCAGTCCTATTCAGTTCTTGGGATTCCCTGGGCGGTTCAAATTGTTTACTTGCCTGGCTGCTAACCAATAGCTTGGAGGTTCGAGTCTACACAGCGGCACCTCGGAAGAAGGGCCTAGTGATCTACTTCTGAAAAGATCAGCCACTGAAAACCCTAAGGAGCGCAGTTCTGCTCTGACACACAAGGGGTGGTCAGCAGTCAGAATCGACTCCACGGCAACAGTTTGTTTTATTTTCACTCATTTTTCAGAGAGTCACCCTTCAATGCTCCGGACTCCTTTCAATGAACTGTACCAGCAGTTTTGGTCTGAACAACACAGGTTTAAGACTTAATTAAGTAACTTCTTTCCTTGTTCTCTAATTGTTGAAGATACGTTGGTGTTCTCTTCCCACCTGAGACAATAAGCTTCTAGAGGGCAAGGAACGTGGCTCTCCTCAGGCATAGGACAACGCTCCACGAGAAACTCTAAGCGGTGAGCTGTTTGAAGGCAGTGTGATTTCTCTTTCTACTCCATGGTCTCTAGCTGAAGAATTTGCACACTGTAAGGACTAATGAATATTTATGGATGAGTGAATACCAAGTATCTAATGATTATTTATGAAAACTGGAAGCATGTGCTGACCTAAGCAATATTCCAGTGTTATGAAAAAAGAGATGGAGGACAGTGTAATTTACTCTTCAGTTCTGTACTACCTTTCAAAAGCTTCTGCCACATGTCTTGAGCATTAAACCAAGCAGATGCTGTTTAGCAAGTTTGGAACAGGTTCATGGAGGGTTAGAGACAAAGATAGTCAGGATCCTGATGAGAATAAGTTCAATATTGATTTGGGGCAGTTTGCTAAGACATAACAGAGTAAGGATGGGATAGAAGGGAGGAGGATATGGGTAGAGTGGTTACTGTTAACGTTTTAAGTCCCCTGTGGCCTTCTTCCATTTTGCTAGTAAATGAGTAGGTGACCCTCTTAACTCAATCCCAAACTCTGATACCACAGTCTGATTGGGATGAGCTTTTTGGGTCAGGATAGAAAATGGGGTTAAAAGCAAGGGGACAGAAATGGAAATACAGAGAGTTATTTATGTAATTTTTGGTTAAATTTCTATTCAGTTACTTCTAGGAGATTGGGTTCGACTACTTGGTAGAAATCAATGAAATGGAACTTTGAGAAAACCTATTTTAAAAGCTTTGCTGTTTTATCCTCCAGTACTTCATATATTATTTATTGATAAAAGCAGGAATAATGGAAAAATAATAACTGGGGAAGTCTGAGTGTTCTCTTACATAAATACTATCATACCAAAAAACAAACACCATTGCCATCGAGTTGATTCTGACTCATAGTGACCCCATAGGATAGAGTAGAACTGCCACATAGTGCTTCCAAGGAGCGGCTGGTGGATTCGAACTGCCGACCTTTTGGTTAGCAGCCTGAGCTCTTAACCACTGCCCCATGAGGCTTTTTTTGTTTTTTGTCTTTTTTTTTTTTGTACTTTAGATGAAGGTTTACAGAACAAACTAGTTTCTCATTCAACAGTTAGTACACATATTGTTTTATGACACTGGTTAACAACCCCATGGCATGTCAACACTCTCTCTCCTTGACCTTGGGTCCCCTATTAGGAGCTTTCCTGTCCCCTCTTGCCTTCTAGTCCATGTCCCTGGGCTGTTGTGACCCTTTAGTCTCATTTTGTTTTATAGGCCTGTCTAATCTTTGGCTGAACCGTGAACCTCGGGAGTGACTTCATTACTGAGCTAAAAGGGTGTCCGGGGGCCATATTCTCAGGGTCTCTCCACTCTCTTGCAGGCCAATAAGTCTGGTCATTTTTGTGAATTAGAATTTTGTTCTACATTTTTCTCCAGCTTTGTCTGGGACCCTCTATTGTGATCCCTGTCAGAGCAGTCAGTAGTGGTAGCTGGACTCAGTCTGGTGGAGGCCTTGGTAGATGTGGTCCATTAGTCCTTGGGACTAATCTTTCCCTTGTACCTTTAGTTTTCTTCATTCTCCCTTGCTCCTGAAGGAGTGAGACCAGTGGAGTATCATACCAGTGGAGTATGGCTGCTCACAGGCTTTTAAGACCCCAGATGCTACTCACCAAGGTAGAATGTAGAATATTTTCTTTAAACTATATTATGCCAGTTGAGCTAGATGTTCCCCGAGATCATGGCACCCACAGCCCTCAGCCCAGCAATTCAGTTCCTCAGGGAGTTTGAATGTGTCTATGGAGCTTCCAGGACCTTGTCTTGGACAAGTTGTGCTGGCTTCCCGAGTATTGTGTACTGTCTTACTCTTCACCAAACTTAACACTTACCTATTGTCTATTTAGTGTTTTTCCATCGCCACCCCTCCCCTCCCTTGTAACCATCAAAGATTGTTTCTTTTTGCGTGTAAACCTTTTCTTGAGTTTTTACAGTAGAGGTCTCATACAGTATTTGTCCCTTCATGATTGATTTATTTCACTCAGCATAATGCCCTCCAGATTCATCCATGTTATGAGATGCTTCGCAGATTCATCATTGTTCTTTATCATTGAGTAATACTCCACTGTGTATGTACCATAGTTTGTTTATCCATTCATCTGTTGATGGGCATCTGGGTTGTTTCCATCTTTTTTGCTATTGTGAACAATGCTGCAATGAACATGAGTGTGCTTATGTCTATTCGTATGACAACTCTTAGTTATCTAGGTTATATTCCTAGGAGTGGGATTGCTGGATCATACAGTATTTCTATTTCTAGCTTTCTAAGGAAGCGCTATATCGTTTCCCAAAGTGGTTGTATCATTTTGCATTCCCATCAGCAGTGCATAAGAGTTCCGATCTCCCCGCAGCCTCTCCAACATTTGTTATTTCTAGTTTTTTTGATTCATGCCAGTAATCCTGGGGTGAGATGGTACCTCATTGTGGTTTTGATTTGCATGTCTCTAGATGCTATTGAACGAGACCATTTCCTCATGAATTGAATGCCTTCTTTGGTGAAGTGTCTGTTCATTTCCTTTTCCGATTTTTTTAATTGGATTATTTGTCTATGTTGCAAAGGTGTTGGATTTTCTTGCAGATTTTGGAGAATAGAACTTTGTCTGATTTGTAATAGCCAAAATTTTTTTCCCAGACTCTTTTTGCTCTTTTGGTAAAGTCTTTTGATGAGCATAAGTGTTTAATTATTTGAAGATCCAAGTTATCTAGCTTATCTTCTCGAGTTTGTGTGTTGTTGGTTATGGTTTGTATCCTGTTAATGCCGTGTATTAGGGCCTGTACCATTGATCCTATTTTTTCTTTTATGAACTTTATAGTTTTTGGCTTTATATTTAGGTCTTTGATCCATTTTGAATTAGTTTTGTATATGGTGTGAGGTACGGGTCCTGTTTCATTTTTTTGCAGATGGACATCCAGTTTTGCCAGAACCATTTGTTAAAGAGACTGTCTTTTCCCCATTTGATGGACTTTGGGACCTTGTCAAAGATCAGGTGACCGTAGGTGGATGGATTCACATCTGGGTTCTCAATTCTGTTCCATTGGTCAATGTTTCTGTCGTTGTACCAGTACCAGGCTGTTTTGACTACTGTAGCTGTGTAGTAGGTTCTGAGGTCAGGTAGTGCAAGTCTTCCTACTTTATTCTTCTTCTTCAATATTGCTTTACTTATCCAGGGCTTCTTCCCTTTCCATATAAAGTTAATGATTAATTTTCCCATTTCTTTAAAGAATGTTGTTGGTATTTGGATCGGAATTGCATTGTATTTGTAAATTGCTTTGGGTAGAATTGTCATTTTCACAATGTTGAGTCTACCTATCCATGAGCATGGTATGTTTTTTATTTATGTAGATCTCTTTTGGTTTCTTGCAGTAGTGTTTTGTATAGGTCTTTTACATCCCTGGTTAGATTTATTCCTAAGTATTTTATTTTTTTAGGGGCTATTATAAATAGTATTATTTTCCTGATTTTATTTTCATCATTCTCTTTATTGGTGTATAGGAATCCAACTGATTTTTGTATGTTTATCTTGCATCTTGCTACTCTGCTGAATCTTTCGATTAGTTCCAGTAGTTTTCTCATGGAGTCTTTTGGGTTTTCTAAGTATAATATCATATCCACAAATAAGGACAGTTTAACTTCTTCATTACCAATTTGGATGCCCTCTATTTCTTTTTCTTGCCTTATTGCTCTAGCTAGGACTTTCAGCACAACGTTAAATAAGAGTGGTGATAAAGGGTATCCTTGTCTTGTTCCTGTTCTTAAGGGGAATGTTTTCAGCCTGTTTCCATTAAGAATGATGTTGGCTGTTAGTTTTGCACAGATGCCCTCTATTATATTGAGGAATTTCCCTTTTATACCTATTTTGTTGAGAGTTTTTATCAGGAATGGGTGTTGGACTTTGTCAAATGCCTTTTCTGTGTCAATTGAGATGATCATGTGATTCTTTTCTTTCTTTTTATTTATGTGGTGGATTGCATTATTGATTTTCTAACGTTGAACCATCCTTGCATACCTGGTATGAATCCTACTTGGTCATGATGAATTATTTTTTTGATATGTTGCTGAATTCTATTGGCTAGAATTTTGTTGTGATTTTTTGCATCTATATTCATGAGAGATATTGGTCTGTAATTTTCTTTTTCTGTAGTGTCTTTGCCTGGTTTTGTTATCAGGGTTATGATAACTTCATAGAATGAATTCAGAAGTGTTGCTTCCTTTTCTGTGTTATGAAATAGTTTGAGTAGCACTGGTGTAAGCTCTCTGAATGTTTGGTAGAATTGTCCAGTGAAGCCATCTGGACCAGGGCTTTTTTTTTGTTACCTTTTCAATCTCTTCTCTTGTTATGGGTCTGTTCAGATTTTCAACATTACTTTGTGTTAGTTTGCGTAGGTAGTGTGTTTCTAGAAATTTATCCATTTCCTCTAGGTTTTCAAATTTGTTGGAGTATGGTTTTTCATAATATTCTGTTATGATCCTTTTTATTTCAGTTGGGTCTGTTGTAGTGTCACCCATTTCATTTTTTTATTTGGGTTATTTGCATCCTCTCCTGTTTTTCTTTTGTCAGTCTGGCCAGTGGTTTGTCGATCTTGTTGATCCTTTCAAAGAACCAACTTTTGGTTTTGTTATTCTTTCTATTGTTTTTCTAGTCTCTATTTCATTTATTTCTGCCCTGATCTTTGTTATTTCCTTTCTTCTGGGCATTAACAGGTTTTTTTTAATATTAAGTTTATTCAATAATCATCCCTATCACCTGGCTAATGCATACTGAGTTCTTACTATGTGCTAGGGATAGTGTATATACAGTATAACTAATTTTTCCCCTCACTTGATCCTTACAACAGCCCTTCAGGTAGGAAGTATAATAATTTGTATTGTATAGAAAAGGGAATGATGCTTAGACAGGAAAACAAATTGCCCAGGGCCATTTTATTTTATCACCTTCATATTCATAGTATCATTTCAACTAGGTTTAATTAGTTGATTTTGTAAGTGATGAAGTCAGATCTCAGATGTCCATGCCTATCTGACTCAAAATCTCATGCTCCTAGCCACCATGCAGCGGGACTGGTGGGTTGGAATGGATCAGGATGACAGACCGCTGTGGAATGGGCAAATTGACACTGATACTTACAGTTTAGTAAGATTGTGCAGCCCTCTGAAAGCATACATGGATACAGATCTAATTTTATTGTTTTGCAGATATCTGTGAAAATGATTATTAAAAAAGTAAATACAATGAAATAAATTAGTGAAGATGGATATTGATGTCATTTTGTTTTGGTATAAAATTCATGCATAACTGGCTGGTTATTTAGAAATTCTAGTTGTAAAGACAAACATATAATAGCTAAAAATTAATATTTGCACTTTTCAGGAATAAAACTTTAATGCATAGTAAAGCACTCACTGGTCAGATAGATAGTCCTAGAAGCCAGAGTTTTCAACATTCCTTTGCTATAATTCTTCATACTTGTAAGTGCTCAACATAGTGCTACCAAAATTACAAGCAGTGACATCTTTAATGCCCCAAACCGTTCCCCATGTTAATTACAAATCTGTGAACCAAGTCAGCTTTGATTTTATTAATTTTACATGTCCAGCCTTGTTCCAAAAAAAGTGTTTGAAGCAGCTTGTAAAGAGTATATATGAAAAAGAAAAAAAGGAAAAATGTAATTAAAAAGTGTCAGGTCTAGAAAAATATAAATTAGACAGTAATATCAATATGAGATGCAGGCTCACAGAGTTAACTAAAGTAATATGGAAGTTTGGCCTTGAGTTAACTGGAGGTCAAAGGGAACAGATATAAGGGCACAGGCAACTGCATCAATTGCAGCCATGAAAGCTTTGTTTGCACTTCTATGTGTACTTGCCCCAGGCGGTGGGGAATGATAAGTAAGGGGTTCAGGCCTGACCTCTTGTTCCTAGTGAAGGTCTCCAAACTCTCTTAGGGTATCCTGAGTTTACATGCAATCCGTTATAAATTTTAGGAGTAGCAAGAGAAATCAACACAAGTAAACTCCCAGGTAATTAGAAATTTCGACTAAAAGAGAGTAACTATTTCTCCAGTATGCAAGATGACAAAACTTTGATTCTAAAGGTTGTTACGAAGTTTACTGCACATCTAATAATTTCACAGAATATGCTCTGGACGGAATCATAGAGTAGATAATGCATCTTTCTTGCTGATGCACAAAAGACTTGGACATGTGTTTATTTATTTGTTTTTAACTGTGTAATGATCAACTAAGCAATACACTGCATTGTCCAGAGTTTGAGTCAAGCTGTACCTTTGATAACAAAATTAGAAAATTTTTTGTAATTAGGTTATTTTGACTGTTTTATTGTTTGACTGTTCAGGAATTTAGTTCAATGTTTATTGTGCAAAATACTAAACTACTTTGTTATTTAAAACTGAATTTTGGCATTTAGATTCATACTTATAACTCCTTTTAAACATGTGGACAAAAGGTGGTGCCACAGATCAGAAAAATTCTTCATTTTTCAGAAATCAGATAATGGAATAAGAAAGTATCGTAGTGAAATTTTTGTACCAGGCCTGATTTTGAAAAGTTCTTCTTTGCTGAATGAGAAGTGTTAAGAATCAAGTTCTGAAAATATATTTGATTAGAATTTTTATTTTCAAATATGAAATATATTTAAGCTATTCTGATCATCTAGGTTTTCAGAACATTTCATTGAATGAAATGGATCAATTTTTCTTCTGATTTTGCTATACTTCTACCTGTTATCTAAAAGAAAAATGTGAAGATATTATTTATGTACCAGGTTTCTGAAGCTGTAAAACCAAAACTAAAACCAACATAGGTGTGAAAAACAAAATTAGATTTAGGCTCAGAATATTTAATCCCAACAGGTAAACCATATGATTTAGTTACAAAATTGACCTAAATAACAGGTGAACATCACCTGGGCTATTGTGGAATCTGAAAGTGAATATATGACCCTAAACTCAAGAGAAGCTACTCAAGGCCAAATTAAAATTCAACCTGCAAAGCAGATGTGAAAATGAAGCCCCAAAATAACATGCTCTAAGGTTTCAAACCCCCACAACTTGCTATCTTAAGTGGAGAAAGAATTTGCAAGCACAGTGTCATGAATTGAATTGTGTCCCCCAAAAATATGTGTCAACTTGGTTAGGCCATGATTCCCAGTATTGTGTGATTGTCCTCCATTTTGTGATTGTAATTTTCCTATGTGTTGTAAATCCTAATCTCTGTCTGTGGTTAATGAGGCAAGATTAGATTATGTTAAAGAGGATTAGGGTGGGATTGTAACACTCGTACTAAGGTCACATCCCTGATCCAATGTAAAGGGAGTTTCCCTGGGGTGTGGCCTGCACCACCTTTTATCTTACAAGAGATAAAAGGAAAGAGAAGCTAGCAGAGAGTAGGGGACCCCATACCATCAAGAAAGAAATGCTGGGAGCAGAGTGCATCCTTTGGACCTGAGGTTCCTGTGCAGAGAAGCTCCTAGACCAAGGGAAGATTGATAACACGGAACTTCCTCCAGAGCCGACAGAGGGAGAAAGCCTTTCCCTGGAGCTGATGCCCTGAATTTGGACTCGTAGCCTACTGGACTGTGAGAGAATAAATTTCTCTTTGTTAAAGCCATCCACTTGTGCTATTTCTGTTATAGCAGCACTAGATGACTAAGACATACAGGGAAGAAAATTCTTCACTATCTAACCTTGGTAGCAGGTCTGGCAAAAGATCATTACCTCTTTCTCTAAGGTGGGTGCTTAAGCAAGCCATGCTAGAATAATGTCAGAGAATAAGAAGCTCCTGAGTGGCTCCATTTTGGCGAATGTGGTAGGAGGATTCACAGTGCACATACTCTAGTTTCTTTAGAGATATAAGGCATCTGAGATTTTTCTAGAACAATTTCCGTAACTACTCAGGAAAAATGTCACCTGCAGTCCCGAGCTAACAGCTAAACAATTCTCTGAAGCAGGATTAGACTTAAACAGTAGTACAGTGTTGGTCTTCACAGGAGTGAGAAGAAAGATATGCCAAAAAATTGGTAGTTGATTATTTTAATATTAGAAATTAAAATTTTTCTTACAGCTTCTGAAGATCAAGGTACTTCTTGAAGCCATCAGGAGGAAGCTTTCTTATTAAATTCCGCCGAAGTGACCTGAAATAAATGTAAATTTTTTTCTTACCTAAAGTTTTTTCATTTTTTCTACTTTTAACCACAACAGCAATATGGATAATTATAAACTGCATTTACTTTACCACTCAGATTTCAGGAAATACTTTATTTCATTATATGACATTCATATTCATAGTATCATTTGAACTAGGTCTAGTGAATTGATTCTGTGTTATTAAAGGATATTAATCTTTTCTAAAAATAAGGTCAAAACACTATAATTCTACATCCATTCCTGATTAAAACTCTCAATAAAATAGGAATAGAAGATAAATTTCTCAGCATAATAAAGGGCATCTATACAAAACCAATAGCCAATGTTATTCTCAACAGAGAGAAGATGAAAGCATTCTCCCGGAGAATGGGAATAAGATAAGGATGCCCTTTATCACTACTCTGATGTAACATTGTGCTGGAAGTCCTAGACAGAGCAGTAAGGCAAGAAAAAGAAATAAAGGGCATCCAAACTGGAAAGGAAGAAGTAAAACTATCCCTATTCGCGGATGATATGATCCTATACATAGAGAACCCCAAAGATTCCACAAGAAAACTACTGGAACTAATGGAAAGATTCACCAGAGTAGCAGGATAAACATACAAGATAAATATACAAAAACGATTTGGATTCCTATACATCAACAAAGAGAACTTTGAGAAGGAAATCAGGAAAATAATACCATTTGTAATAGCCCCCCACCGAAAGATAAAATACTTAGGAATACATCTAACCCGGATGTAAAAGACCTAAACGAAGAAGACTACAAAACACTATTGCAAGAAACCAAAAGAGACCTACTTAAATGGAAAAACATACCATACCATACCTTCTATCGTGGATAGGAATACTGAACATTGTAAAAATGTCAAGTCTACCCAAAGCGATCTACAGATATAATGCAATCCCGATCCAAATACCAACAGCATTATTCAATGAGATTTGAAAACTAATCATCAGCTTTACATGGTAAGGAAAAAGGCCCCGGATAAGCAAAGCATTCTGAAGAAAAAGAACAAAGTAGGAGGCCTTTCACTGCCTGATCTCAGAACCTAATATACAGCCACGGTAGTCAACACAAGCAAAATGGCAGACACATAGACAAATGGAACAGAATCGAGAATCCAGATGTAAACCCATCTACCTATGGTTAGTTGATCTTTGGTAAAGTCCATTAAATGGGGAAGACAGACTTTTTAACAAATGGTGCTGGCAAAACTAGTTCTCCATCTGTAACAAAATGCAACACAGGACTCATATCTCTCATAATACACAAAAACTAACTCAAAATGGATCAAAGACCTAAACATAAAACCTAAAATGATAAAGATTATGGAAGGAAAAAATAGGGACCACACTAAGGACCATAATACATGGCATAAATACAATACAAAACATAACTAACAGTGCATAAACACTACAAGATAAACTAGATAACTGGGAGTTCCTAAAAATTAAACTCTTGTGCTCATTAAAAGACTTCACCAAAAGAGAAAAAAGAGAACCTACAGACTGGGAAAAATTTTTTGGCTATGACATATCTGACAAGGGTCTAATCTCTAAAATCTATAGAATACTTCCACACCTTAATAATAAAAACATAAATAATTAAATTTAAAAATGGGAAAAGGATATGAACAGACACTTCACCAAAGGAGACATTCAAGCAGCTAACAGACACATGAGGAAATGCGCTCAATCATTAGACATTAGAGAAATGCAAACAAAACTACAATGAGATACCATCTCACCCTGAATTTACTGGCACTAATCAAAAAGACAGAAAATAACAATGTTGGAAAGGTTGTGAGGAGATTAGAACTCTTATGCACTGCTGGTGGGAATGTAAAATGGTACAGTACAACAACTATGGAAAATGACATGGCACCTCATTAAAAAGCTAGAAATAGAAATACCATATAATCCAGAAATCCCACTCCTAGGAATATATCCTAGAGAAATAAGAGCCATCACAAGAACAGACATATGCACACCCATGTTCTTTGCAGCATTTTTCACAATAGCAAAAAGATGGAAAAAACCTAACTGTCCATCAACAGATGAATGAATAAACAACTTATGGTACATACACACAGTGGAATACTATGCAAAGGTAAAGAACAATGATGAATCCATGAAACATCTTACAACATGGATGAATCCGGAGGGCATCGTGCTGAATGAAATAAGTCAATCACAAAAGGACAAATATTGTATGACACCACTATTACAAAAACCCAAGAAAAGGTTTACACATAGAAAAAAAGAATCTTTGATGGGTAGAAGGGAGGGGAGGTGTGGGGAGGGGAAATTACTAACTAGATAGTAGACAAGTATTAACTTTGGTGAAAGGAAAGACAACACACAATATAGGGGAAATCAGTACAACTTGACCAAAACAAAGCCATAGAAGCTTCCTCGACACATCCAAACACCTGGAGGGACAGAGTTACTGGGGCTGAGGGCTGGGAATCATGGTCTCAGGGGACATCTAGGTCAACTGGCATAATATAGTTCATAAAGGAAATGTTCTACATCCTACTTTGGAGGTACATCTAAAATACACCTAATGGTCCTATCACGTTCAGAGCAAATGCGAATGAAGAAAACCAAAGACACAAGGAAAATATTAGTCCAACAGACTAATGGACTACATGAACCACAGCCTTCACCAACCTGAGCCCAGAACAACTAGATGGTGCCCGGCTACCACCACTGACCTCTCTGACAGGGATCACAATAGAGGGTTCTAGAGAGATTGGGAGAAAAATGTAGAACAAAATTCAAATTCACAAAAAAAGACCAGACTTACAGGTCTTACAGATACTGGAGGAACCCCTGAGTCTATGGCTCCCAGACACCCTGCTAACTCAGAAATGAAGCCACTGCTGTAGTCCTCCTTTCAGCCAAAGATTTGACAGGCATAAAAAATCAACAGTAACACATGTGAGGAACATGCTTCTTAGTTCAATCAAGTATACAAATGGGCAACATCTGCTCAAAAACAAAGACCAGAAGTAGGAAAGGGCAGGAAAACTGGAAGAATAGACACGGGGAACCCAGGGTGGAAAGGGGGAGAGTGCTGAAACATTGCAGGGATTGCGTCCAATGTCACAAAACAATTTGTGTATAAATTTTGAATGAGAAACTAATTTGCGCTGCAAACTTTCACTAAAACACAATAAAATAAAAATTATAATTCTGATAATTAAAAAAGAACAAAATAATTGATTTTTTAATTATATTCTCCATTTCCATATTACTTTAAAAAGCATTAGAAAACATCTCAGTTTTTGAGATCCAATAAAAATTATTTTCCATTTAAAATACATCAAGAATTTAAGTAACTTTTTTAGGCAGCGCCAAGATGGCGGAGTAGTCAGAAGCTTCCTGTGGTCCCTCTTACAACAAAGACCCGAAAAAACAAGTGAATCAATTATATATGAAAATCTAGGAGCCCTGAACATCAAAGGCAAAGTTGAGGAATCACACTGAATGGCAGGTGGAGGGAGAGAAGGTTGGGAAGCAGCGAGGAGTTGCCAGATGTGACACGGTGGGAGATGACACCCTTCAGGCCTGATTGGCTGGTGTGCGTCGTGAGGCAAGCAGTGGTGCTGAGGAGACATTTTCCACATTGGGAGAGACCCAGTGGCAGAGAGTCTGCTCAGGCCTCCAGAACAAGTGAAAAATGGTGCTTAATCAGCAAAAGATAACTACATGCCTCTGACCTACCACGCGGATCGAAAAACACCCTCTTTGGGAAAAATCTTTCTCACATTTACCTGCCCCATCCCCGCTGTGCACCGAGTCTGGGCCGGCTTCAAGGGTTGCCCTTAGGACCCGTCACATACCCTGAGTCACTATCCTGGCCTTGGAGATGGAACAAATAAACAAACAGAAAAAATTATCTGCCAGCTTCCCTAAGCCAGGAACTCAGGGTAGGCACAGCTCCTTTGCCGAGGCACAGGCATAAGGGGTCCGTGGACTCTGAATGCCCTTCACCCTTGCATAGACCTTGTGGGCCCATTTTAACAGCATAGGCCCTCATTACCACAGTACAACAGGGGATTGAAGACTAACTTCAACTGTATCAGCTATATGGTGAAGTGGCAGATTTGTGACATTTGACACTGCTCTGCCCATTAAGCAGGCTCCTCACCTACCCACATCAGGGGCCTGAGGACTGGTGGCTCCATCCATGCCACCTAGCCACCTGAGACGGGGGTCCAAGAATAAGTGGTGCCTCCCGGTCCTTACAGCCAACAGCACTGGGTGCTCATAGTCCAGCTGCAAAACCCACCCACCTGTGTGCTCTAGGGAACAGGGACACGCTTTCCTCCCAGACACTCAGGGGCAGCTGTCAGCCCCCTGCCTTGCTCAGTGTGTGAACCCTACTGCAGCCAGATACCTGTGCCTATACCAGTCACCCATGCCAATCTAGGACTGTAGGGGAGTGCCTGCACCACACACTTGGTGACCGACAACCTACAAACTGGAACTGAATCCATACAAGAAATGTAAAGAGACTTCTGGGCTCACATACCTAGTAACAGATCTAACCACCTGGTGACAGGACGTTAGAGCTTCCAAGGAACCAATAATCTAACTAGCTCACACAAGCAGCCTATTTGGGCATATAAAAACAAACAAAACAAGAAACTAGGACACAGTAAGCAAACATAAAATAAATAAATATAATAACTTATTGATGGCTCAGAGACAACAGCCATTATCAAATCACATGAAGAGGCAGACCATGATGGCTTCAGCAAGCTCCCAAAATAAAGAATCAAGAAATATTTCGGAGGAAGAGAATTTCTTGGAATTATCAGAGGTAGAATACAAAAGATTACTATACAGAACTCTTCAAGATATCAGGAAGGAAATCAGGCAAAACGCAGAACATTCCAAGGGACACACAGACAAAGCAATAGAGGAACTTAAGAAGATTAGTCAAGAGCATAATGACAAATTTAACAGGCTGCAA